GATTAAATCTAAATGAAAATGATAAAGAGAGCGAAAACCGGGGCCCGTACGAAAGCTCTCTCCCCGTTTAAAACTAAACCGGCGGTCGGCCTCTGGGCATCATTTACGGCTAATTTAGAGATTGCCGGGCGTGTCACGCGATTAAAAAGGGACAGTTTTAACTGGACGCGATGTGTCCCGCTTACGGTTTCGTGTTGTGCGAAATCTTATGCGAAAAACTATCCTAGCGGCAGAATCGATCAGTTGAGAAAAGGTAAGGTGTGTTCCCAAGTATTAAGTAAGGAGGATCCTCCCCCACAACGTAGCGCTGAAATGTTTAGGACCTTTTAGATTTTTTGCCCACAATCGACACACCCTGTATATAATTCAAACAATAGAGAGAGAAACAACAATGAGAGAAATAGTGATTGTCATGTGAAAGTACATAAAAAAACTGTAACTCTTGAAGTGACCTATAATACCGTTTAAACCAATTACATATATTTTTTTACGAATTTTGATTTACGGCAAATAATTTACTCTGGAAAAGGACAATTTTCAGGGTCTTTACGATTTGGATAATTGGAAAACCCTCAACAATTTAATGTGGGTCTGGACCTCCACTTCTATGCCAAATTTGAGGTAGATGGCTGCAAATTTAGGGCACTTATTTTTATTGTTGCATGGAATATCGCGAACACCCTGTACAATAGGTGAAGACCTTAAATACAAAAGTTTTAGTCACTTATGCCGGCTATATCGTCATATCTGATATCTTGCATATAATCTTTTATAGTCAATTTTCATTAACAGGGGAACCCGTTTTCCAGTTTGAATATGTTTGAAAAATTGTTGGGAATAAAAGTTTATGGACCAGAATATTCTGCGTCTTGTCGTTCAAAAATTTGTTCGCTCGCACAAACAGTTTTCGAGAAATAGTTTTTTTCTTGGACCCTAGCAAACGCGATTATTTTTTTTTAGTACTGCCCGACGTCCGCCGAGCCCCAATAGGCTTCGTCAGGAAACCAAAATCTATTTGTTTGCCAAATTTGAAGTCCATAGCTTCAAATTTCGGACACTTAGCGTGTTTCATACCAATGTGCAAAAACAGTCGTAGCTCAAACCGTTCTAAAGTCGTGGCCAATGAATGATGCGTCTACATAGAAACGGAGAACGGACAGACATTGAAAAAAAATTCTTTTTCTACCCTGATCATCCCTGTACCAACGATGGTACCCTAGGACCTATCATTGCCGAGATACAAGTTTCGTTGCTAAGCGCGTATACTTTCGATAAATTCAATTTCATCCATTTTTTCGAAAGTAATGATAATAATCGACTTTATTAATAATAATCTAAGTACGAAAAATATACAGGGCGAAGTCTAGCCTAAGGCTATTCAAACTATCAAAACTCTGGTAAACTAGAACTAAAATCTAGTTTATGTAGATAACGCATAAACTTATAAATACGCCATTATCAACTGTTCCCAATGCAATAACTATAATAACAAATTTATGCCTGCTAGCAGATACCAATGAATAAGTAAATTAAAACGAAGAAGAAAAAAGAGAACAAAATCGTATGTGTGCCGTGAGTGAGTACTACCAGAGTAATAAGTCTCTATGCGCTTGTTAAATAAATAAATTTTTGAAAATGGCTTTGAATTTTTCAACATTATTAATTATTAAATCATATGGCAAAGAATTATGAAGTTGAATGATGTTATAAGTAAAACTTTTTGTCCTGCCGTTCTGTGTTTCGGTATTAGCTTGAATTTATTTGTAAAAGTACGAAAATATTTTTTTGAAATTTTTTCCAATGGTAAATTTCAAACGAGAGCACCTTTTGAATGCGATATTCGTCCGACTGCCGAAGACAGGGAAAATAACGACTGGAGTAGAGTTGGGTATGTCCTTATGGTAAGAATTTTTATATCTTGGGTAAAAAATAAATTGGAGCCAAGCAGGACACCAAAGTTCCGTGCCGTTATCATCATATCATATCAAGAATCTTATTTATAGGTCGAACACGATGAAATTTTCCAAAATATTTTTGAGTGCTGCTGATAAACCTCTATAGGTTTTTTAGGTTTCTGTGAATATGTGGTTCTAACAAAATTTTTGAAAAAAATATGAATGAAATAATCGTTTTTTTTTGTGAAATAAAAATATGTCTGGTTATTTGCAAACAGATTGAAACAAAACGAGTCTTCATGTAGACAATTAACCGACATTACAAATGTAAACTAATAGTATATTTGAAGTGAAAATCGATAGGAAGATTTCAGATTAACATGAGATAAGGTTTTCAATGAATTGCATTTATAAATTAATTAGAAGTACTTATAAATTGGTATACTCCATGTATATAATTTTGAATGCGTGTCAGTTATGAATGAATATTGTTTTGGTAGTATCGAAAAAATCAATTGTTTCAGGTGCTTTGGATTTGCTGCGCCTGACAGTCGGAATTAAGACTTCGCTCATATTTTGACAGCTGTCTATTCCCTTTTCACATTTATAGGCATACCGTCGATTTAAGAAATTGTTGGGCAACTTCACACAAAGTTCACACCAGCCAAAGTTACCATTTCCGTAATAGCAAACAAACTTGCAATACAAATTCTTGAGTAAATCGAATGTAAATTTACTTAGATTTCAATACATTTTTGAATTTCTTTAAGAAACTATAGAAATGTTCTGTGGTTCCTACAGCACAAAAAGTTTTGGAAAAAGCTTTTATTTGTCAAACCACTTAGAATTACATTTTTCAAATTAACATTTAACTTTAACTTATATTTCCGTAAATATGTAATTATATTCAAATTTTTGAAAAAAATATATTAGTAAAATGTGTGTGTGTGTGTGTGTGTGTCTTTTTTTTTTAAGAGGGGGGAATCCTTTTTACGGATTCCAGGCATAGATGTTTCGCCTGGATATGTGAGACTCGACACACGACACTGAGTTATAATAAAAACTCGGCTCTAGTGCCCCTACTCACTAAACCCTAAAACCTCTTATCTTCTATCCTCTCATCCCCCGCGGATCCGCCTTTTAGGTATTACATCGCAGAGGGGGGAATTAGCTGCAGCTCTTCCTTCTGGTACCTAAGATTTTATATCTTCTTCTTTCGTCTAGTGGCATTTGTTCTTCTCCCTTCAATAGAAGCGAACGCCTTCTACTGATGCTGCTATAAAGCCTGCATTGTTGTTGTCGACTGCGTTCTGGAAAGGGAGCTTACCACATGATCAAACGACAGCTTTCGATGTGCTGTCACATTCCCACGGTTGATTAGTTAGATGTTTGTACGGCTCAGTTATTAGTGCTATGTCTAGCTCTAATTCTCGTACGGATTGGATGAGCAGGTCATGCGCCGCCTCACAATGGTTGAGATTGAGCTGCAGTATCTTCATGTTTGTTTCTGAGTCAATTTCTGGAGCGCCTCCTGAAATACCGGGCATCTGTGGGTGCCGGCATGATGAGCCACATCCTTCACTCCTTGCTGTTCAGCACATATTACACACTTTGCAGAATTTTTAGAGTCAGTGACACGGTGCCCTTCTTGTCCATATCTGATGCAGAGTTTAGACCGGTCTACTTGGCTTAATCATTGAGGTCCAATATGTCCAAAGTGCCATTTAAAGCATTGGACTGGTTTTCTAATTGCTCTTATTTTGCAATTGACCCAGCCAATCCTTATTTTGCCATTTCCATTTAATAGTTTCGACGCGGCAGTTACTGATAGGGTTACTGTAGCGATTTGAGTACCTCTGTAGGCCTTACGGATCTTGATTGCTTCTAATGATATATCACAGCTATCTCCAACTTCCTTTTGAAGGGCGGCCTGAATGTCCGTCTTTGTAGTGTCGTCATCAATGTCAAGGTTTTCGATCGTCTCCTGTGGCTCTTTACATATTACTTTGGCTTCTTTCAGAATGTCCGCAATAGTCTTTCTCAATGTTTGGCCTTTGTCGGTGCTTAGCATATCTCCAGCGTTGGTCTTATAGATCTTCTGGACAGTACCGCGGACCTGTTCATCAGGAACATCCTGTTTAATTCGACGCAGGATCTCGGCGTACTTTACCTTCTATGTTGGACGGATGATAAGAGCATCTGGTCTGATGCATTTTCGCGGTTTCTTTCTCTTTGTTTCCGGATTGAGCTTTTTTGTCGATTCCTTTGTAAGCTGGTCTCTGCTTTGCCTCCTCTTCTCCTTGGATTGAACATTCTGCCACTCAGTCACCTCTTTTTTTCCAGCGTTCTTCACAAATTGGCTGATCGTTAGGTCAAGCGAAGATCGATCTTTTCTCTTACCTGGTTTGTTGCTAGTTTCATTTTTGTCGTCTGAGACTTATTCACCGTCACCTTCGGCTCCGGTGTCCATTGGTTCTTCATTCATGACAGCTACTTGAATGCTTCTCTCCGGTGTAGTGCGAGAAATGTGTCGTATTGTTAAACGCCATTCTTCATCGAGTTTTTTGATTCTCTGGAGGGCCTTCGTTACGCTGGTCGTCTTGGTCTTATTCTCCTTGTGGATATTGACCATAGATTAGACGAACTCATTTAACTCGTTGGTCAGCTTTCTTTCTTTTTCAGCTTTTATTTGTCAAACCACTTAGAATTACATTTATCAAAGTAACATTAGGTACTTACACTTAGTGAAAAACTAATATGATCATACATACATATTAATATATGTATCAATATGTAATTCTAACAAAATTTTTGACTTTGAATTATAGTGTTCATGTAGACAATCAGCGGACATTATAAGTATACTATACTGTGTGTTGCGAGTTCTACGGCATATACTATGTAGTTATATTTGAAACGTAAGTGGATAGGAGGATGTCAAATTATTAATAATAAGTAAGGTTTTTAGTAAAATCTGTGTATAAATTAATTAGAACTCCATGTACGAGTTGGTTATGAGTGATTAACGAATATTGTTTTATAATTTTTACATCCTTTTGTTGTCATCATTCAGTTGGTAGTAACGAAAAAAATCGATTGTTTCAGGTGCTTTGGATTTGCTCCGCCTCACGGTCGACATTAAGACTTTGCTCTACGGGTAAGTAAAATAAAATGAGAGAGAGAGATTTTTGCATCACCTGCGCCGCGCCACCGCGATATACCATTGATTTTATTACTCGAATTTGAATAAATGCCTTTTCTATGTAAATTTAATTTTTATACATCTGATTCGGTAAAGCGCTGTAAAATGTAAAACGCCCATTGTCCTCGCGACGCAATATAGAAAGTCGCTTATTATTACGCACATTTTACTACGTTCGCCTTACCCGCCCGATACATATCGGCGTAATATGGGTTTTATTGCTACTGAAAATAGCGGCACGATGGTCTCACGGACTGAGACGGAACGTAGGTGCTAAAAGTTTTTGTTAATGGGCGCCTTGAGAAACTGTACCTAACGAATCAAATTGCGATAAGAATGGGAATGTTGTTTCCTGCGTTTTGTTTAGTATTTTTTTAAAGTAATTTTTGCGCTCTACCAGAAGACATGAGTACATTTCAATATGCACGTACTTATTCAACAGTCCAGAGATTGGCTTCTATTGAAAATGATTTAACTGCTTTAAATTTAATTTTTCCAAATTTCTTATCAATTTTTGGTGGCACAGGTGAAAAATATTAAAATAGGGGGATTATTTAACACCATACATCTATTTTTTTGTAACTATAAAGCAAAGGATTTTTGGAAAAATATCTTTACGAAAATTTTGAAAGTGAGTTCGTTTTTTTTTTTTTAAATATTTTAAAGAAAAAACAAATGCAGGTGGATTTAAATCTGCTCATTTGTAAACTTTTAGGTAAACTATAAGACTGTCATGTTATCTAATTTCTTTATGTGAACCTCTGCAATGCGGTATTGAGATATTTACTTAATAAATAATTTGCAAAGAAACGGTTTTATTGGAATTTTAACGCTGTTTATTATCAAACGTTCTGCCAAATAATTAAAACTGATTTCTATTCATATATCAAAATTATCTCATAAACTAAACCAAAGCAAAGCTAGACTAACCAAAACTAAATGGAGAGGTTCTTGAAACACAAACTATCATCTATTAAAATCTAATTATATATGAGAAATTCACCATAGTCGTTGACAGACAAATGTTTTACTAACCAGATTGAAAATGTGAAGATAAAATATTATTCATGTGAAATTTTGAAGAAATGTTCTTATTATATACGACGACGTACTAAAAACATTTCTACAAAACGAAGTTTACGTTTGTGCAGATGTTTGTCAATGCAATACGTACACCTTCCCTACTTAATTTCACACCTTGTTTAATGAGAAGAGATTTAAAAATAAAAATTCAATACCACTATGCAGCACGGGCGGAAAATCCTACATACGCAAGGAAATCTCGAAGTTACAACTAGTCAAAATTAGGTAGCTTCTTGGTTGTCGCACCTTTTCAGCTGGAAAGAAATGTTGCTCTACGAAGCTACGTCTAGTGTCGGTAAGAACCCGCACCATTAAATCTCTAATTAAAGAACATTAAAAGCCTCGTTGGTCATGAATATTTATTGAAATGTTCCCTTAGAGAATAGAATGCTACGGGTAAAATCACCCCCCCCCCCCCGAATCAAGGAGCTATTCCTTTAATTTTAAAAGAAACCAAAACCATTCAACCATTAATTTGTGGTTTCCTTAGAAGCCGATCATTTTCCACGCTACAGTTACCTACGCGCTAAAGATTTATTCCGAAAGGAGAGGAATAAGAAGAAAGGTATAACGTTTCCAGCGAAACGTTTACACAGATCACCGGCCAAGTGTAGAAACTGAACCAAATAATAGCCGCACTATGACGCCCGCGATTTTTTAAGACTATTTTATTGTTTTATTATCGCCTATTATTTTCGATTTAAATGCCTTTTATATGTTAATTTTCTGCCGCTTCCTCCTTAACGCGCGGAAACGGAACAGATCCGATACTGATTCCTATCGCGTATAAACAGTTTGTAGTTCACGATTTAAGTCTATGTACTCGCATTTTGTGCTTTTAAATTGAACAAAAAACCACTTAGATATATACAGAGTGTTTTCAGGATAAATGAACACTAGATGTACTAACTTGGTAATAATTTGCTCACATAGAAATTTTTACTCTACCCTATCAATCTAAAATATGTTCAGTGGCGCACTGTTGTCACTTGTATCGAAAAGTAGAGATAATTTTGATTTTTAAACCAAACAACCTGTAGTTGTTTTTGTTGCCACTTTCTCATAATTTAAGAATATTGGGCAAACTGAAATTTTGGCAGCAGTTTTCTGGATACTAGTTCCCAGTAGAGCTCGCTGTTAAGTAAGAACTTCTGTGTCTTATGCGAAAGTCATTTTTGGGTAAAGTTTTCGAAATAAAAGCCAAGAAGCCAACATGGTGATTAGCGAAACGTCTGTAAGTTCGATTCAACAACCGACGCAGGAAGTTTTGTAAATAGTACTACAGTAGAATGTGGAAGTTTCTTTGAAAAATTAACGAACTAAATAATCTTATTGTATTAGAATAGGACTTGGTCGTCCCCTAGCCTAAATAAAGCATACATTAACTTTATTTTCCTAAACCTCTGACGCAGCTTTTCACCATTTTCTTTGCAACTTATTTTTTGATGCAATCTAAACGGCATATGTTATTGTTTATAAAATAGCCATATTTACATACCAACGCAATGTATCCACCCGCAAAACAATAAAATTTTATTAAAATTATAATCGCAAACTATTACCTTCTGTTATTCTATTATATCCCATGTTTTTTATTTAGTTGCTTCAGCTTTATGGAGTGAATACCCAATTCCAAGTTCTGATTAACTTAAGAACTAGCAAGTTGCCTCAAAAATGACCACATTCATAGAAGGTACAGTAAATTTTATATTAGGTTTGCAAACAATGATTTTTGTGTTCTAAAGTTTCAAGATTTTTTTGAACTTTTGCAATCGTCTGACTATAAATAAATTAGGAATGCAAATTTTGTGTCCATGGTAATTTTTTAAAGTAATTTATTTAACGTTATTTCCTTACTGCTTAAATATTTTCCCAGAGAATGATAACATGGTTATAAATAAAATGCATTAACTAATATAGTTGCTTGCTTACACACACATTTTCGCTAAGCCCACAAGAAATTTTCAATCCGGTAATTCCTGCATTTAACTGGCTGAACTGAAATTCGTAAAATCGTGGGTTAAATTAGTAAAAAATATTAACTCTCATCAATGTCAGTTTATCATTTTATATTTTATCTTTTTATTATATATTATGTAGGTATTGTTTATTGTAAATACAAGAAAAGTGGGATTTTTTTAATTTTTATAAAACAATTAAAATATCTTAAAATGATTTACGCAAATAATACACATCTCTCATTCGGCAGGTCATAAATAAATGAAATTAAAATATTTCCATTGACCGACTACTTTAAGAGATAAAAATTCAGTAGCTATAAGTATTTTAAGAAATTAAATCAAATGGTTGAAATTAAATCACAATTTGGGCCAACTTCAAAGTCGATTTTCTGGCGTACCTAATGCTGACTCGATTGTGATATACAATATTTTTCTAAATCTTCATATTGTAATGTGTAATGAGAAACAGTTTTATTTGCACAGAGCGTTTAACTCAATATTTGCCAATTTCTGTGCGAATTTCAGTCAACACTATAAGTGCCTGTCTAAGTCAATGCCTACTCCCATCTTTTCTTAGTATTTTGTTTTTTATTCACTTAATTATCTGAGTTATTAAATGAAATACAAAATTTAATGTCAAATGATTAAGTTTACCAATTTTCAAAAGGAGCTTTAAACGGCCCGACCACATACTGCAAGACTAACATCTGATATTGAATTTTAATTTGTATTCACCTTTTTTACTAATAAACTTTAATTGTTACTTTTGGAATTAAATTCCGTAATTCATTTATTCATTAATCCTGGAACAAGATGGGGCTATGCTATTCTATGCGATGCTGACTTACAGAGACACCTAATTTACATATACAATTTAAAAAATATTCCCAAATAGAAACCGCAGCTCGCGAGAAAATTAACTTTGAAATTGACCAAAACTTTTGTGGTCCGTCAATTTTCACGCAAAGTGTAGCAACAATATTTCAAAAAAAAAATCTGGAAAAACGCGGGCCGGACGCAGAGTCGACGGCGACGGGTTAACGAAATATTTAGGCGAAATTTGTTTTAGCGCGGTTTCGTCTTTTCTTTTTTTAAGACGCTAAACTTTCCTCCATTAAAGAAAACACAATTTACTTTAATGCATACAAATTTCCTTTAAAAATCGTCCGCGAACTAAACGCAATTATAAAAGATTTTTCGTTAAAATTTGCATTAAATATGGTGCTGAATATCTTAAAAGAAATTAAAAATTTTACGAATGAAATTTGCATGCATAGTGGGACTGGGCTAGTAGATTACTCTCCTTGGGCGCCTGCGTTTTCTTTTTTTTTTTACTCTCCTACCGGCTCCCATTTTAATTTTCTATTTTAATTTAATCAATATTTAGGGCAGTAAATAACGATTAAGGTTTACGGTTATCGCCGTACCCGGTCGATAAGCAAATGTCCGATAAATTTGCAAGAAAATTGCGCCTCATTTTGGGTGGGGCGCCCGGTGACGCCATTTCTAGGGAAAATAAAATCTACTTCTGTACGGACGATCATGTCAACCGATGCTAAGCTAATCGAGGAAGAAATGCGGGGTAAAGAAAAAAAATATGCTGTCTCCTTGTGCACAAATCACTTGTCTTATTTTTATAATGTATCTTTCTTACTGTAAAACATGCATTTAAGAATCGCATGTCATTAGATTGTTTTTTATTTACACCAAGTTGCACTACATCTTCTTCATTAATTGCCAAGTTTTGTAACAAACCTATTACAGGAGGTGAAGAAGACTTTTCGTGGCATTTTTTCAACGAATATTAAAGAAAAGAAGATAGAGGAGTTTTAGTCTTACACAGGATTATTCACGACACAACCGCATTTAATTGTGTAAAATTTTTACATTGCATTTTTACAGCAACAAAAACAATTTCAAGAGCCCATCAGCAAACTGCATCTCAACCACAATGCATTTCCTTTCATTATTTTATAATATTGCCCTCCATGATCTCACTTTATTTCGTATATGGTTAGCGCTCACAGTTTTCACTATTTTCATAGATTCTGGCTCCTACTCCTTCAGTTTTTGAGCTGTTGATATTCCAGATTATTTCTGTCCTTATTGGAAGTCCAGTTTTCTTCGGTTTTGATTGAACTTCAAGATAGCTGGATGTTGTCTGGTATATCTTAAAATAAACTTGAGAATTGTTAGGTATATTCGTGTGGAATTGTTTGCAGTTGTAGTTTTCTTCTGAGATTTCTTGACGTGAATTTGAAGCTTCTAAAATGTTTTCTTCTGAAACTGTCTTGAAATGAGCTTAAAAATTACTAGATATTTTCTTGCAATGACTTTTAGTCTTTTTCTTTTGGGACATCTTGAAATTAACTTAAAGGTACTTAGATGTTTTCTTCTGGGATATCTTGAAGTGAAATTAAAAATTATCAGTTATTTTCTTATGAAATTGTTTGCAATGAATTTGAAGTTATAGTTTTCTTATAGGATATTTTAAAATGCATAATGTACTTAGATTATTTCTCCTGGAATATCTTGAAGTGAACTTGAAGATACTTAGACGTTTTCTTCTGGAATATCTTGAAATGAACTTGAAGATACTGAGATGATTTCTTTTGGAATATCTTGGAATGAACTTAGTGATACTTAGATGATTTCTTAAGGGATGAAATGATGGTATTTAGATATTGTCTTCAGGAAAACCTTTAAATAAACTTACGTGAACTTGGAGACACTGAGATCTTTTCTTTTCAACATTTTTAAAACGTTCTTTCAGACTTTCCGAAACAGATTTTTAATACTTGCATAAGTTTCAGTTCCCTGTAATTGCCATTTTATCCCAAAACGTCGACCTAAGCGACAATTAAAATGGTTTTGTGCCACAGTCCGAAATTGCATCTTCGAAATCCATATGCAAATCATTCGAAATATACAATTATGCATCTATCTGGGGAAATAAACAATCCTGTATCAATACAACGCGCTAAATTGTAACATTTTAGTATGTGCACGTTCGCAGAAAGAAGTTGGCATAACAGGCGATATACATCCGCTACCAATATATCTCCCTCATTTGAATATCGGACTGAATATTTTGAATTAATTAATGATTTTGAAATTATTAGTTGCCTTCCGCAGACCCCTCGGACATTTCTGCGCTGCGCGCCGGCTCCCCACCCAATGGTCACCCTTATCATGTGTATGTGCGTGTGTTTGCTTTAAATTTTGATGGTGTTCTGTGTGTTTGGTGCTGGGCGAAGATTTTTTTTTTAATTCCATAAATTAAAAAAAAAACAGTGTATATTTGCTATTTACAAATTTGCAAAACTTTTGCAAGATAACTTAAATACAAGCAAACGCTTTAGAAAAAGTCAAATCAAGCAACTACCTGGCCGGCCTAACTATAAACTCAATGATACAGAATTCTATGACCGTGTGGTACAACATTTTGAGCTTTTCAATTTTGGTGTTATTCAGTTAAAATGTAGTTCAATGGGTTCGCAAAAAATTGAGATTTTTAAAAAATATTTGTAATAAAAAAATAACGCCATAACTGTTCTGTAACTTCTTCAAAAATAAAAAAAAGAATTAACTTTTCTTTGACACTTATTGAAATAATGCTTAATGAGAAATATTAAATAAATTTTAGTCCTTTACAATAGTTGGATTTTCAGGTATCCGTTTTGTGGTCCGCGCAGCTTGAGCAGACTGGCTAGCGGTTTCTCGCAGGACACAGGGTCCGGAAGTGGGTTTTCTGCTTGCTCGATGCGGTCTGGATGGTGACCAGGTGAAATTATTTCTGACGGGTAAGTCTTAGTTTTAGAGGAGCATCTCGTTTTTGCGAAAGCCAACCACACATGAGGGCAGAGGCTGGAGATTATTTTGTTGTACAGCCTATGGGAAGTCGATGGTAACGGCATACAGAAACTGACGTCGACATACTGATGATGACTCACGTAGTTTTCAAATTAAAGCGGCTTAAACATAAATGGTTAAAATATCTTCTAGAATAAGGTGGTCGAAACTCTATGCCGTGCTCTACCTTTTTTGACTCTGGATCAGAGGTTTTTTCGCAAAGTTTAACTTCCTTCCGTCCAATATGAAAGTAACGTAAAATACTCAAAATGACCAAGTCTAAACCCTCTTCCTCCTAGATGTCAGCTAGACTACTTATCCTCAGACCCTCAACAAATCTGAATTTCTGTAACAGTATCTACAGTAGGTCAGTGCCCAATTTTTCAAACTGAGAAGCGGCATTCTCCTAAGAATGTTAAGAATGTTATGAGAAGGCAAAATTCCAGCCCAATTTCGACTAATTACCGACAAATTTCAAATTTATTTTCTGTTTAAAGCGACAGAAATAGAGCAATCGCAGAACAGTTCCTGGGTTCCGGAATCGAGGCTCAGGTGTTATTTATGCGTTTTATTGTAATACTGGATGTGATAATTATAAAATTCCAACCGGATTTATTAGTACATTTCATGGACCTGAGCAGTTGCACCATGCACGCATACATACGCACTGCGCAAGTGTGCAACTTTTGAATAATATCGGGTTTCCAGACGAGTTCGGTCGATGTCGTGCTAAGAATAAATATATTAACTACGTCTGAAATCGACCGAAGGTGACTTGTAGTGTAAAGCGACACCCTCGGAACGTTTCCTGTTCGACCAGACTTGGATAAGGCGATAAACCATCATTAATTATTAATATTTTTGTTTACGTTCTCATATACCGGGAGGATCAAGTTTTGGGACCGATTAGAAGTTATCTGAAGCTGGACTTGTTTCAAGTTAGGTGGGGTGGGCCGTGACGAACCCGTTCAGATTAAATACGCGCTAACAACGTTATAAATCGGACATATGGCGTTAAAGTGCAGTTCTTAGCATTCTTATTGCTCTATAACGCAAGCAGGTCCGTATGTCTTAAGTCATTCTTTTTGTGATGCATCGAAAATGATCCGTTTGATCCAAATAAATGCAAATTTCAATAATACGGTATTACAATTACCTCATGGAATAAAGATCTTGGTGTTTTTCGCGCCCTCTACGTAATATTTTCTTAAAAAAAGTTATACTATTTGACAAATTATACTGTAAGTAATTGTATTTTCCATCCAAAAAACCATGCAACCACATTTATGTCGCAATATTATGTATTTAATGTATAGAATGTATTTAATTAATGAGCGGATATTCTGCTAAGACTCTGGCACATGCATGGCAGTGCACTTTGTATGACATAATATCATTTTTAAATTATAGTTTGAATGTAGATTTTGCTCATAATGCTCTATATTCGGCTCTGATTATCACCTGCACTTTAAAAATTAAAAGAATAAGAAGACACCATGATATACTATTTAGAAAAACTCACGTTTCCACATATTGTGATCCAAATTGCACATAATGGCTTTATGAAACATTCTGGTTTCGAAATAGTTATAACGAAGTTAAGAATAGAAATTTATGGCTAGAATTCATTAATTTAACTATATTAACTATAATCTTATAATCTGAGGAAGCTGGTACTACTGTCATGCATAGAAACGCTAACGGTGTTAAAATAAAAATTTGTAACAGAACGGGGTCCTCTCGGGGTAAAATGGGTAGCACGTAAAACACTGAACAGACTTCTTACTATTTTACTAAGTTTGCGTGTCTTTAACAATTAGTTTCAAAAGGAATGCGTGAATAAACGAAAATAAAACTTCGCGTCCGTCGCGTAGCGCCGTCGAACCGCAACTCCCGTGTCGGAATCCGGACTCGTCGTGACGTGCCGGGGTCCGAGCGGGATCAAAGGGTTTTTTGCGTCGGGCCGTCTCAAGGCGTTGCGGGTAATTTAAAACCATCGGTGCAGTGGTGGTTCGTTACAAATTTCAATTGCCACTTAGAACCGCCCTTTATATTTAATTTTAATTTATAATTAAAAGGTCGGCCGGTACGTAGATTATGAAAAGATGTCCACGCGAATTAACAATACGACTGCGAAAGACCTCAGCCAGTTTTAACAAGTTTTGACGTGGGCTTGTATTTAATTACAGTAATATTTATAAAGCCCCTGCGAATCCTGATGCTTGCGGCGGGGGGTGGGGGGAGTCGAAAATAACCGAGGGGGCGTGAGGGTGTTAGACGGGCCGCTGCAAACTTTTTTTTAAATGTGAAAAGTTTTTATTGGGCTGAATGAGTTCCAGGACCGGGATTGGGTCTGTGAGGGCTGGTGACTGTTTATTATTTTTTTCTGATTTGAATATCCATTTATGTTGGGTTAAATATAAAGTAAGCAGGAGCGTAATTTCGTCAGTTTAAGGAATTCATTTCACAACTTCTGATTGGTATCATTTGAATTTTTTATTAGTTGGGAATTATTCTTTGCACTGCGAATATTGTAAAATTGTTACTTAAATTTCACACACTAATCTGTATTTTGAAGAGGCCCATGGTCAAAATCCCTCGCCGACAATGAAGAACACGTAAACCCGTAATAAATGTTTGAAATTTTGAAAATAAAAATAGAAAGCGCAAAATATCCAACTTGCCAGAATTATAATTTCATTTAATCGTTCAAAATTTAGAAACAAAACGTAGGAATCACATTTAACGAGGCAAGAGAAAGAAAACGGTGAACCTGAACTGGAATTCCAGGGACATAACAAATCACACCACGAGAAAGAAATCTCTGTCTTACTTACAGACAAGCCCTGATCTCCACACTGAAGCGACCGATCCAACCAAATAGAAGAAGCTAATTAAAAAATAAGTCGACGAAACGAAGAAAAAATGTAGGTAATCCTGATTATAATAAGCATAATTTTTCATTATACATTAAACATTTAAAAACGAAACCTAACCCTGCACTTTAGCACCCCCCCCCCAAGCAAGAAAAATTTTCTGTGGAAGCGGCGAAACATCAAAAATTAGATACCATTCTAACAAACTATAGAAACTTATCAAAGTATATGATAATACATAAATAACAAAACAAAACAAATTACCTAAGGGTAGTCATCAAGTGCTCGAATGGCCCCTTAACCACGGCCATATTCGGAAAATAACCCAAAAAATTCTGCCGTTGGTCCCCACACCTATCGCCGCATATTTTCGCAAAGGTAATTGAAGAAATAAAATAAAAACCCTCAGCTCAGCCAGAATAGGCTTAAGAAATTTTTGAAAAGCCGTTACAAAATACGTAGCAGATATTTTTCAGAATGCATTTTAAAAAGTTAAATTTAACACCCTGTATATTAAATGATTGGCCTACTTTTTTATATAAAAGGGCCAATTTTTATTTCGTATCGTGATTGGTTACAATTGTAATATAATGAGAATCTCAATTCTTATTTGTCGGTAATAAAATTACACAGTTCCACCTCAATAATCCGGATCTCGATTAAACCGGATTCTTCAATAATTCGGGTCGGGCTTTCAATTGAATTGTGTACTTTATAATCCGGATTTGATAGTGCTTGATAATGCGTCTACTTTATTCTAACTAACTAGGTATTATACATATAGGAAAACTACCATTCCACTAACTTCTTAAATTTGTCCGTATCTGCCTTTGGTTTACGTGCAACAGAGAATATTTGAAGAATAATTGCGTAATTGTTTAGTTGTTGACCTTTAACAGTAGATACATATTAAAATGCCTTCTATAAGAACAATAAAACAAATGTGTACCGGTGTAGGAACATCAACAATTAAGGAGATAAAAATGAACGAAAGGAAATCTTACGATTTATTTTGGACATTTACTGTGGGCTTCTTTTAGATTTATTGCCCAAATGTGATTCCGATCCTGGGTTTAGAAAAACTTTGCGAAAATCTGAATATGCAAAAATTGAAACACGTTTGAATGACTGGTTCTATAAGCAACGATCAAGGCATGTCCCGATTTGCTACGAAATTTTGTTTGCCAAAGCAAAACAGTTTTATGGTGAAACTTACGGAAATAATAATTTTGGGGCTAGCAGACGCTGGATTTGTAATTTCTGAAAAAGTGAAGTCCACGTGCCTTAAAATTGCGTGATGAAAAATTGTCCGGTGACGTCGATTAAACATCAAACCTATCAAAATATATAATGCAGATTGATCCGTGGAAAATGCTGTCTGAGAAGGCGCTGGTTCGTTCTCAGGAGAAGACTGCACCGCAGGTCGTAAAATAAACAAAGAACGGGTTACCTTTCTAGCATGTTGCAATACTGATACAAAATTAAGCTGTTAGCGATATGAAAGGTAAAACATCCCAGAAGAAACATCAATTTGCGTGAAAGTGCCGATAACGCCTCAAGCCATTGACAGCACTTTTGCAGCCTATGGACCGAAATGCCACTGACAGACGAAAATATTTTATATTTTATCGGGAAAGTGTTTTAATATTAACATGAAGGACGGAGTATGTGTATTGTGCAATGCTTGGGAACAAGTCTCTGAGGAAGCCTTGGAGAAAGAAATATTATGACCCAAGTTTCAAGTACCAAACCAGACGCTGAATATGACGTTGACGATGTGATGATCATTTTTTTTTCGGTTAATTGTTTTTTTTGCTAAATAGTGTATATTTAACAGATGCTTCAGATAGGTAGAATGTTCTGAATGAGCAAAATCTCGCGAACGCGGAAATATGTAATTGGCTTAGGAATGATGAAGATTTGTTACCACTGGAAGACAAAGTCGGTGGTTCAAATGAACAACGTGGGAGTGACAATGAACGTACAGAATTAAATCATGCAAACCAGACAGTTAAGTATTATGCGGCAGTTAAAAGTTTTAATGTGAGTCGAAGAAAATAATATTCCAATTAATGAT